TATAAGTTTAATTTCATTCCGGTCCCTAAACTTTCAAATTTATTTTATTTTGGTTGAAATGTCTATTTGAATATTTGGATAAAAAAAAATTTTTTTAAAATCTTCTTTGCTCCACACCTATGACATTGAGAGTAAGAATTTTTAGGCAAACCTATATTTTTTTATATTTTCTAGAGTTAGCATGCATTTTTTTATGGTAACTAATTCTCTCAGAATGTTCGTAGGTTTGATTTTCAAATAGAAAAATTAATGAAAAATGATAGATGGAAGGAAGAGATTAAGGAGTAAACGATGATTTGACACAGCGTGACACAAGAGAATAGAAAAATTAGATAAAATTAAGAGGGGACAAGGTTAAGAAAAAAGTTAGTTTAAAATACATTTTGTCCATCGTCCTATTAAATTTTTTACTTGTATGCTCTTATTTTATCGGGTTAACTTACTTTTTTTATCCTAACATTATACCAAATTATAAATTATTAGTTTAATGAACATGTTATATCTTCAACATATAAATTTATCAAACTGTCTTTAGATTAAAAATTATATTTAATCATGTATACTTTGTGTTTTGTGTTGATATGTTTGAGCAATGTTTTATTTGTTGGCACATTTCTTGTTTTATATTTTTCTATTTAGTTTTTAGGTTGATATTCTCATTAAATAATTTAAAACATGTAAAATTCATAATAGTAAAATAAATTTTCTAGTTTAGAAAAATTTTGTATTTTTTTTAATATTATATCACAAATCATATCTATTTAATTAAAAGTAAATTCTCACTACTAATTAAACTCAAACAAACTTGTATAATTTTTCAAATGTCCAAATATAGTCAATGTAGATTTGAAAGAACCCATTACTATTTTCATGCCAACTTTACTTGTAGAGTAAGATATTCTCTCCCCTATTAATGTATTTTTCTTCTAATAAAGTTTATTTCTTCTTAAAAACATTTTATTCATGAGTTATACATCTAAATTAATTTGTAGATTTTTTTAGTAGAATAAATAGGGAGTGAGGGATTCAACGACTTTCTGACCTGAAGGTAATTAATGTCTTTATCTGTTAAAATATATTCGAATAAGACATAATTTATTACAATATAAATCACGTGGCTTAAAGATATTTTGTAACATTCTTTCTTTTTTTAAAAAAAATAAAACTTTATAATATTAAAACTTTTAACATTTTGTTTATTCTAAAATTCTGCCAACCCTGAGAAGATCGGTCTCTTCTCACCTAGAGCAAAATGGATCGAGTGAGCTATACGAGGAGAAGCTAAAGTCAGTCTAGATGCAAGCTGGGTAAGTTAGTCTATCCTTCGTTCAATTACACGGAGATCCTCCGACTTTGTTTTGTTGGTCCATGCGACTCCAACACATGTGTAATTAAGTCTTTTTCTAAAAATTTAGATCATTTCAGTTTTTTTTCCCTTAAATACAATATGTGGGATGAAGATTCTAACTCTCAAATTTATGGTTTGGTACGTGTACCTTAACCCACTGGTTAGCAAATTATTTCAGTTTTTTAATGAATAATAACTTTGTATATTTGAGATGATATAATTATTTATCAACATCATGATTCTTAAATTTATCAATATTGTGTTTTACTCTTGAACTTTGTATACAAAGTTATTTTAGTGTTTCCTGATATTCTCTTTTGTAAATTATATAATAAAAATCTAAGGCACGACGTTTACTCCTTCAAAAATCAAGTTTTAAATACAAACCACCAACATAAATATAGTTTAACGATAGTTGACATGTACTATTCCTCTTGAGGTTGAAGGTTCGATCCTCATATCTCAAAATTATTGTATTAGAAAAAAAAAAAAAGCGGATACAAATTTTGATTTAATAATTAATGATAAATAGTAAAATATTTTTTATACGAAAATTTTAGGATTTATATAACACTTAAAAGTTGAGATTTAAATCTTAAAACGAAAATAAATAAGTATGGAAGTTGAAAGATGGAATATAATTTAAACTTAAAAATAAGAAACTATATTGAAAGTTTCTTAAACAGCCCTAGCACTTTAAATCTAGGGTAATTGCAATTTTAGGCGTAATTAACATATAATATTGCAATAATAATATTACTTAAAAATAATTGTAGATAATGTAGCAACATGAAAACACATATATCACTATAGATTATTCTTTTAGTACAATGTTTCGTCGCTTTTTTATGCGACCCAAACGCGTTTCAAGCGACGTAAACGCTTTTCGTCGCATTTAAAAGCGACGATTTATATTTTTTTGTCGCTATATATGCGACGAAAAATTTTTCTCGCTGAAACCCATAATTGTTGTAGTGATATATTAGATCATCGATTAGTGATATAATAATCATTTTTGTACAACGAGAGATATAAGACTTCAAGTAATCAATATATAGATTAATCACTAATTATTATTAATTGAGTTAATAATTTATTTAAAAACTTTAGAAAATTACTATATGTGCAATTTTTTTAAAAAAAAATAATATTTACAATTAGTTTTAAAAAGTCACATTTTTGTAAATTTTTTGTACCATCAAAACTCAATTTGAATAAACATCAAAATTAGATTTAAAAAATTGTCTGTTGACTTAACTACCAAATCACAATAAATTTAATTATCAGCCAAATCCAATCATATAATCAAGTTGAAATTGGCAAGTAGAGAGTGGCTATGCTATGTCATAAAATGTAAAAAAATCTAGCTAAAGAGTTTCTAATAATATGCTCATAGCTAACATAAATATTTAAAAATAAAAATAAAAGTTTGTGAAATTTTTTAACTAATATTATCCAATAATGTTATTTTTCTTTCCTATTTTATTTTCTTGTTTTTTTTATATAGAAAAAACATTGTATTTGGGGACCGTTTATTGTTTCTTTTTTTTTTAGTTAAAAAAACATAAATAAATGGTAACATTTCTTTGTTTATTCTTTCTCATAAATATTAAATTAAGAAAAGTTTTTACATGAAAATTAATTTGTAAAATAAAATGTTTTAAACATTATGTCATATTTAATTTAGTTTAATATTTATTGTGCGTTCTATAATTTAGAAAAAATAATGTTATGCACTTTAAAGTTTGAAAACAAAAACGACAGACATAAGGGCTAGTTTGTTATTTTTGGTTCTTGTTTCTTATTTTTCGTTCTCTTATTTCTTGTTTTCTATTTTTTGTTGCTCGTTTATTCTCTTTTCAATAAATAAAAACAAAATTGTTTTTCTAATTGTTCCTACCCCTAAACAGAATGCTGTTTCTACTTTTAAAGTAAAAAACTAAAGTTTTATGTAAAAAAATAAAATTTTAAATTAAATATTCAAACTCTTTATGTTATATTTATTTTTAAATTTTTAATATGTATTTTATTAGTCAATAATAAAATAATGATTTATTTATATTTTAGAAAAAAAAATAGAAACGAAAACAAAAAAATAAGAAACTTGATTTTGTTATTTCAACATTTTTACAAAATTTTGGAAACGTTTCTTAAAAATGAGAAATGAGAAATAGGAACAATTGTCAAACTCTTATGTTTCTCAAAAGTTTGAGACGAGAAAAAAAAGTAACGAGAAAATTACCAAACGGGCAAAAAAAACTAGTTTGTGTTGTTTCAAAAATTTGTATACAATTTTGGGAATTTTCTTAAAAAATTGAGAGGTATGGATATTTATCAAACGCTTATATTTCTCAAAAACCGAGAATGCAACTAAAAAGACCACTTTAAGGTTAAAGCAGACTCACTCAGCCACATAATTAAAAAAATGAAATCTTTTTTAGAAAGAGAAAAAAAAAGAAAAAAAACTTAACTTGTATTTGGTTGGTTATCTAAAAATAAGGAGTTACTGGAAAACAAAGTTGTACTTCATGTTTTCAGTATTTTCGTATGTATTTAGAAGTAAATTTAAAAATTAAATTTCAATTTAAAGAATTGTTGAAAGTAATATATTTGTAAACTAGTGGTCAACTAAATATTTAGTTCAATCTAAAATTTTATTAATTATTAGTTTATCTTTTTTTATGAAGATTAATTAACTCAGTTATATATTATATATTTTATGTAATTACTATTAATTTCAATAAAAATAAAATGAGCTTATAACATGGAAAAAAAATATATTTATCAACGTTTTTATCTTTTTTAACGTAATTATGCATTTTAAAGTTTCGAATTTAAAATCTGAAAACATTGAAAATATAAAATTATTGTTTTCAAAATACTTTTCGAAAAAAAATGACAAATAGATATTCACCCATTCAATGAATCTAACAACAAGAAATATAATTGGATGACATACCAAATAAATTCTTAAGAACTTATTATAGTAGGATCAAATCAGCCCAAAAAAGATAGAAAGAAAAAAAAAAGTTGAAATACTAGTTTGGTCGTTGTACTCCCAGTTTTAGTTCATTTTGATCCCAATATTTTCAAAATATTTGTTTTTGTCTCCACACTCTCAATTTTGTTTTATCTTAATCATTTACCTTCAATATGTTCATTTTGGTTCCTATACTTAAAAAAAATGATCATTTTGGTCCCTTCAATTTATTTTTAATCTCATTTTTTCCACTTTCGTTCGGTGTAAAATTTGTGTTAAAATTTGAAAACAGTGACTAAAATGATTCCTTTTTAAAATGTACAATGATCAAAATGAACATTTTTATAGTAAAAAACTAAACGACCCAAAATTAAAAACATATGGACTAAAATGAACAAGTGAACAGACTAAAATGAAGCAAAGTACAGAACCGAGATACTATTTTAATCCAAAAAAATAGATAAAAGAAGTTAGAAGTAAATCACACAAGAAGATCTAATATTTTAGAAACCACAAAACTAATACTAAATTTGAAATCATTCATTCCCAATATATAAATAAAAAATGGAAATTTAGTTGAGCAAAATCCAAAAGACAGAGGCTGGATTCTGAAATAATATACTAATAAAGCATCTTGTCCCATGATTCATACATTACACCACCACTCTCCACTCTGCAATCTGCACTCTGCCCTCTGAACACAACATTTCTTTCATTTTTCCCCTTTTTTGCACCAAAAAAATCACCCTTCATTCACTCTCCCTCTCCATTTCTCGTGACACTTTCCCCATTTTTCTCTCTCTTCTCTCTCTCCTCTCTCTCTTAGACCCACAAATCTGTTTTCCCACCAAAACCCTTCAGCAGCAGCAGCAGGCCCCTGAAAAACCCTCTCTCTCTCTCTTTTTTTATGTCATTTTCTTTGTTTTTCTCTTCTTCATCTGATTCTGATCAAAGCGATTGTGGGGGAAGTTTTTTTCAAAAAAGGGTATCTATAGCTTCTCCAGGTTCTATGATGCTCTCTTCTTATTACCCCCTTTTTGGTTTCTTGTTTTGTTGTTTGCTTCTTCTTGGTCTTTAACCCATTTCCCCTGTTTCTTTGAATCCATGGTTTTTTTCTTCTCTCTTTTTTGCCCTCCTGACATTTGAGGGGGTTTTGTGTTTTCTTGTCCGGAATGTTTCTGAAATTACTCTGCTGGAGACTGGTTTTGGCTGTTTTTGCTTGAGGTTTTATGGGTCTTTCAATTTCATGGGTTTTCTTGGAAACTCTCTGTTTATTTGAAGTGGGTAATGTGGGAAAGTGGGCTGGTTTGATTTCTTGGTTGAAATTTGATTCTTGATTTCTTTTCTTGTGTTGTGTCATGGGTTTTTGCCCTGAAATGTGAGGTGGGGGAAGATCTGAAGGGGGTTTTGTGAATCACTAGGATTTTTATGGCCTTTCTGTGTTATGTCTCCATTTTACTTGTTTTTGGGGTTCTCTCAAATTTCCAATCTGTGGGAGCTGAGGTTGATGATCAGATTACCATGTCTGCCATTAGAGAGGAGCTTCAAGTTCCTGGGTGGAGCTCTAACATCTCTGATTACTGTTCTTGGAAAGGTGTACACTGTGGTTTGAATCATTCCTTGGTTGAAACTCTTGATCTTTCTGGTCATTCTCTTAGAGGTAATCTTTCTCTGATTTCTGAGCTCAAAGCCTTGAAATGGCTTGACCTCTCCTACAATGACTTCCATGGCGAAATCCCGTCGAGCTTTGAGAAGTTATCAGAGCTCGAGTTTCTTGATTTGTCTCTGAACAAGTTTGAAGGCCTGATCCCTCCTCAGTTTGGTGGTCTCAAGAGCCTCAAATCATTGAATCTTTCCAATAATATTCTAGTGGGAGAAGTTCCAAATGAGCTTCAGGGGTTAGAGAAGTTGGAGGGTTTTCAAATTTCTAGTAACAGATTGAATGGTTCAATTCCAAGTTGGGTTGGAAATTTGACTCATCTGAGAGTTTTTACAGCCTATGAGAATGACTTTGGGGGTGTGATTCCTGATAATCTCGGCTCGGTTTCTGCACTCCAAGTGTTGAATCTTCATACCAACAAGCTCGAAGGCTCAATTCCCCGAAGCATTTTTGCTTTGGGGAAGCTAGAGATTTTGGTTCTGACACAGAACAGATTGACTGGGAATCTTCCTGAAGAGATTGGTAACTGCAAGAGCCTTACCAGCGTTCGGATCGGGAACAACAATCTTGTTGGTGTGATTCCTCAGGCCATTGGAAATGTTAGTAGCCTTGCCTACTTTGAAGTGGATAATAATCACCTTTCGGGCGATATAGCGTCGCAGTTTTCTCGGTGCTCTAATCTTACTCTGCTGAATCTAGCGTCAAATGGATTCACCGGGACAATTCCTCCTGAGCTTGGAGAACTGATGAATCTGCAGGAGCTTATTCTTTCAGGCAACAGCCTCTACGGTGATATCCCGAGATCGATGCTCGGGTGCAAGAACCTTAACAAGCTTGATTTAAGCAGCAATAGATTCAATGGTACTATTCCATCAGATATCTGCAATATATCAAGATTGCAGTACTTGCTTTTGGAACAGAATTCAATTAAAGGAGACATACCTAATGAGATTGGAAAATGTACAAAACTTCTTGACCTGAGACTCGGTAGTAACTACCTAACTGGAAACGTCCCTCCCGAGATCGGTCACATTAAGAACTTACAGATAGCTTTGAACTTGAGCTCCAACCATCTAAATGGACCAGTGCCTCCAGAGTTGGGGAAACTTGACAAACTGGTTTCTTTAGATTTATCAAACAATCATCTCTCGGGCGATATCCCATCCGAACTAAAGGGAATGTTAAGCCTCATAGAGGTGAATTTTTCAAATAATCTGCTTACTGGTTCGATACCGTCCTTTGTTCCATTCCAGAAAAGTGCAAACTCCAGTTTTCTGGGGAACGATGGCCTTTGTGGGGCGCCCCTAAGCATCTTGTGTAGAAATACAATCGGTTCATACAGTCAAGATTACCATCACAAGGTCTCATACAAGATCATCCTGGCTGTTATTGGTTCCGGGTTAGCAGTTTTCATATCGGTCACTATAGTTGTTCTTCTTTTTGTGATGAAAGAAAAGCAGGAAAAGGCAGCAAAATCATCCTGCACTACTGCAGATGATGCAACTATCAACGATCAGCCTACGATAATAGCAGGAAACGTCTTCGATGACAACCTCCGACAGGAAATAGATCTCGACGTGGTTGTCAAAGCAACATTGAAGGATTCAAACAAGCTCATATTTGGCACTTTCAGTACCGTTTACAAGGTGGTAATGCCTTCTGGTATGATCGTATCGGTTAAGAGACTAAAATCCATGGACAAGACCATCATTCACCATCAAAGCAAGATGATCAGAGAGCTTGAAAGGCTTGGAAAACTAAGCCATGCCAATCTTTTGCAGCTCATTGGCTATGTAATATATGAAGATGTGGCTCTCTTGCTTCATAATTACTTACCCAATGGGACATTGGCTCAGCTTCTTCATGAGTCCACAAAAAAAGCTGAATATCAACCTGATTGGCCCACAAGATTCTCAATTGCCATTGGAGCAGCAGAAGGGCTGGCTTTTCTTCATCATGTGGCCATAATTCATCTTGATATTTCATCTTCTAATGTTCTTTTGGATGCCAATTTCAAGCCTTTGGTTGGAGAGGTTGAGATCTCAAAGCTTTTGGACCCATCTAGAGGCACTGCAAGTATCAGTGCAGTTGCTGGTTCATTTGGCTACATTCCACCAGGTACTTCACTTGAAACTCTGTTAATAAGGCCCGGTTTGATGACGTTTTGCTTCCTTGAAATTTCTTTGGTATGGTTTTCACCTTTTTGATAAATTCATTTGAGTTCTTGCTCAAATTTCAAATAGATGACCGAACAAAGGAGCTTATAGGTGGAAGTAGTATTTGTAAGTTTAATCTTGGGAACCAGAAACCAAAAACAAAATGGTTATCTAACCGGGTTTAACTGAGATGCACTTTTAAGTTTTTAGCTTCCCTAATGAGTTTGTTTTTCTCGTTCTCGATTCAGAATATGCATACACAATGCAAGTTACAGCCCCAGGAAACGTTTATAGCTATGGTGTCGTCTTGCTTGAGATCCTCACTACTAGACTGCCTGTTGATGAGGAGTTTGGGGAAGGAGTAGACTTGGTGAAGTGGGTGCATAGTGCTCCCTCGAGAGGAGAAACACCGGAGCAGATACTCGATTCCCGGCTGAGCACGGTGTCGTTTGCCTGGAGGAAAGAGATGCTTGCAGCTCTCAAGATTGCATTGCTCTGCACTGATAGCATACCAGCCAAAAGGCCAAAAATGAAGAAGGTGGTGGAAATGCTTATGGAGATCAAGCAACATTGACGGGTTCTCGACTTCCCCGAGTTTTCGCTGTTGTGAAACTTCTTTTCGAGAAACAACAATCTGGAACGGAAAGACAATTGGAAATGGAGATTGAATTTGAGTCCTTCACTAAATCAATTGATTCTGGTGAAGGTGGAAGTGGAGTGTTCATACAAAATTGTACAGTCTGGTTGTTTTGTGATGATCAATCAGGAATCAACCAGATTTGTGTCAAGAAAAAGGAAAAAAAGAAAGTATATTACATAATGGTTAATGTGTAATCTGGTTTGAGTTGAATACAGATAGTTGTGAGTTTCTCTAATGAGATTGAGGGATTTATTTGAGGAATGAAGTAGGGTTGAAGAAAGGAATGTAGAAAGTAGGAATCGTAGTTTCAAAATACGATTTCATGAGGAATACCATAAAACAACGTACTTTTTAGAGGCAAAAAGCTCCAACACTATCTATTCAATACAAGATGAATCACAATAGTTTGGCCCCCATTTGAAATTAAATAATAATAATAAAATAACATTATTTTTAAAAGAAAACTTTTGATAAAATATAAGTTTAGATCATTTTGAAACATAGACTTTTGTGTTTAGTTTAGGTTAAACTTTAAACCTTTTTAATATTCTATTTTAATTATATATATGTCAAAACATAGATAAAAATATTATTATAATCATTTTTAACTTAAAATATATATATGTGACATAAAAATTTTTAATATTTAATTAAAAAAAGAATTTTCATATAAACCTCTACTTTAAAAATTAAAAAATATTAGAAAACAATAAACAAATCATGGTTACCAAACATGCTTCTGTTCTCATTTCAATTAAAAAAAAAACAAGGAACAATAATCATTTACCAAATACAATTATGATTGAAAAAGAGAACAAGAAACGAAAAACGAAACACAAGAAAGTTATCAACTTGAGAATAAACCATCAATTATAGAAAGCTAATAAAAAAAACAAGGAACAATAATCATTTACCAAATACAATTATGATTGAAAAAGAGAACAAGAAACGAAAAACGAAACACAAGAAAGTTATCAACTTGAGAATAAACCATCAATTATAGAAAGCTAATACCCCATGTGGGAGTTTCCAAGCAATCATGGTTTGAGCAAAAGACAGCCACCAACTTAAGCAGCAATTTCAAAGGAATCTCATACCAAAAGAAATTTCCAGTTACCATTATACAAAGAGGAAATTATGGCAAAAAAAAAACAAAATAAATAACATTAAGTAGATCACAATTCACACAGCTGTAGAGAATTTGGAGATCTAATAAATCAAGGAAATAAGAAAGACGAGCATTCTACATTGTCTGAAAGAGATGGGGAAAACTTTTTCACTGTATTTATTGAGATTCAACATCCTGACACCATAAACATAACAAAGCCAATGATGCAACTTAAACAGGAAATAAGAATGACTTCAAAACAACATGAATTCCTTCCGAGTTTCCCACTTAAAATGTGAAGGCAGATTAGAACTGCTTAAATGACTAGAGGAAGTACTTTCAAAGCAGAATGATCCAATCAAAAGTGTAGAAATTGACAACCAGAGTAGCATTTAGACTTCAGAGCGAGTCTTGACGATGAAATTCTGGCGACTGATGGGGTTCATGACCACAGGTGGACCGGCAGTACGAGGCCATGCTTGGAATTTCTTGTCGGTTTCTTCCAACCACTCCTTGTTCGAAACAGTAGACGGGGTTGATCCTGAACAAGAAATTATTAAAAAAAAATTGAGACAGTAGAGCAATGGTAGCACACCAAAGAAACTGCGATAACCCCCGATAATTACCTCCAAATATTTTCTTGTCAGCAATAAGATAGTCTGAAACATACGCAATTGCACTAGCTCCAATTACAGAAGCTAAAATGTATTTTGTTGCCATCTTCTAGCTGCAATAGATTAATATGCTCCCAGGTCAAAAGAACCATATGACACACAGAATCAAATCAAACTGCCACTCAAATTGAACCAAAAGCTCGTATTCTACCCTATATCTATATGTGTACTTCAATTTAGAGAAGTAAAAGAGTCGAATAAATATAGCCCAAAACCGAGGATCACAAACAATATTTTAAAAAGCTAAAGGCGGCCTTGAGGCTGTTCCTCTTGAAAAGGCTAGGCATAGGCCTCAAGGCAGGCGGTATAAGGTGTAAGCCTCAATTTTAATTAAAAAATTATACAAATCTAACATTTGTATGATCAAGTATTGCTAAACATAATAGTTATATAGAAGTATAAAAAAATTCACTTGTTAATTACCACTTAAATAAAAATCCTAAAAGAACATCCTCAATATCACCACTATTATCACTACAATTATCACTAATAGGATTTACTTATTCCATAAAATTTGTCTCCGATTTTTTAAAAGTCTAGGTAGTAAAAGTAGTAATAGATTAAATTGGTAACACTCCTATCATGCATTCCATGTGCAAAGAAACTTTTATATTTTGACTTTAAGCCTCCGTTCGTCTTCAAAGAGGCGTAAGCCTCTAATGGTTCAAATAAGTCGTAAGTCTCGAGGCTAAAAGTTAGAGCCTTGCCTCGGCAAGCCTCAAGGCATAAGCCACAAATGGTACCTTTTCCACAAAATCGCTCACTTTAGACCTCACATCCCACAACCCGGCCTCATCTTACAGACTCCATAAATATATCAGGCAGGCAAATATCCAAAGAAGGTGAAATTTCCTATGGGAACTCAGCCACCATGCTATCAACACCAATGATAAACTCCAAAGAAGGATGCCATACATGGCTTTATCCCCACAATAGTGCACAATCTGCCAGAACAACATGGAATCACAACAACATCTTTTTATCACCTGTTCTTTTGCATCACATTTGTGGACAAGCATTCACAACATTTTTGGATGGTGCTCAGTACTGCCAAATGACCCACCTATCCTCTTAGAGACCACTCTTGAAAAAGAAAAGGAGCTGCGTTGGACAAGTTTTATACGAGCTTCTTTTTGGATCACTTGGGGTGAACAGAATCAAAGAACATTCAACGACAAGAATCAACCTTATGAGTAAAGTTGTTACATGGTGTAAATGTTCTCCTGTAACTATAGCTACACTTCCCTATAATCTAATTGGAAGTGTCTCATGTAATCCCATATGGGACTTTTGTAATTTCATACGATGAAATTGTTTCTTTCACAACAAAAAAAAAAAAAGAATTCCCCAATTTATCAAACCCACCCCAACCCCATAGAATTGAGTTGGGTTGGGATGATCAGTGGTTCAAATCAGCAAGAAAATTCCAAAATCCAGCTAAAACAACCATAAATAAATCCTCGAATCCAGCCCAACCATCACAAAATTCACAAACAGAAAGCAGATCCCAGTAGAAAACTGCAAACCTAGCAAGCTCATCACAAATCCAGAGAAAACCCAAATCATGTAGAAACCCAGAAAGACATTGCAGTGGCATAATCATAACACCAATTATTCAATTACAGCGCAAGCAGTACAAAAATTAGGGTGGCATAATAAAAACCAATTCATACGGACAAATGCCCTCGTTTTTTTATCCCCGATTCTAACAAACGCCGCAAGAATTAAAGACGGATTCCAACAGTCTCCACCACGAACTTCTACCAGGAAATGAATAGAGACGCAAGATTGAGAGAGACATACCGATTAAAATAGAGCTGCAGAATGAACGAGGCGTCAGATTGAGTCGATTTTCGAAGCGATCAGCAGAGAGAGAGAGAGATTAGCAGAAAGGAAGAAGATTGATGGGAAGGGCGTGCCCTAGATGTTACAGAGATGAGACTGAGTCAAGAACGAGACCGAGAGAATTCTGAGTCCGAAATGTGAACAAAAAATCTGCAGATTGAAACTGGGCCCTGGCTGTGCTGGCCCAAATAAAATCTCATCTTAGTCCCAAATTCTATGTTTCTCTCTTTTCTTATTTATTTATTATTATTATTATTATTATTTTTTGTTAAAAATCATTTTGGTTTCTATACCTTTATTGAATTAAAGATTTAATTCTTCAAATCGACCTTTGATTTTCTTGGACCATGTAATGCCAAAAGTAACCTCTTCAGCTAGTTGAACTATGATTCGATTGGCTAGATAAATATATGTTTGAATGCTTTAACATTTTTCAATTTAATCTCTATTATTTAAAAAGTTTCAATTTAGTCTCTTAAGTTTTAACATTTTTTTAATTTAGTTATTCACATATCGTACTTGTCGTCGTTTTTTTTTAGTACACATATGGTAATGGTTAAAATTTGATGATAACAAATTTAGGTATAAGAGAGAATATATTATCGATCCTCCAAATCTCTAAGAAATTGATAAAAAAAATTTGAGGATGATTGCTATCTTCCTTTAAATTTCTACTAATTCACTAAGTATTATGTCAGCTAAATTTATCATCAGTCAATTTTAATATTCACAAATCTCCGACCTTGTAGAATATTATTTTATACTTTAACCAATTGAATTATGTTTATATTAGCTTCGTTGTTAATTCTTTTAACTTCCTAACATAATTTTGAATATGTGTATTAAAATGTTAGGAACGTGAGTATATATCGGAATCACCTAGATTGGTTAACATGGATATTAGGTGGAAGAATAATAGTAAATAACAAAATGATAATTTTTTTTACAAAAATCAAATATTAAAATGACATTTTAAAAAATTAAAGACTAAAGGTTATTTTTTTGAATGTCTAGAGTAAAAAATAAAAGAAACATTAGAGATGATAGACCAAAATATAGTTTAAATCTAAAAGTACTCATCTCTATCCTTTCATTTTCCATGGATCATATTTGAAAAATTAAAAAAAATTGATTTTAGAAAAGTTTAAAATCACTTTAAATTTAAATTGCAATTAAATCTCTTTTTTCAAAATCACTAATTATATCATCACACCCCCAAACGCACCCTATAGTTCAATAATTACGAGGTAACCTACTAACTCGATTTGTTTCAAATTTTAATCTTTTAAAATGTGAATGGAAAATTAGTTATTATCATGAAAGATATGAATGAAAAATATTAACTTATTTGATTTTATATTTGTTTTTTCTTCTTTTAGTGAGACAATTTGATTTTATATTTGTTAAACGAAAGGGAAAATATGAAAATGATTTAATCCAAACATGAAAATGCACTAATCAAGCAAGTAAAAAAAAATCTAATTAAACACAGTAATAAAAGTTTTAGAACCATGCTAAAAACATCTACAAATTTGTATGTTCATAACTCCCTTTATTTGTGCTGTAATATTCTTTAAAAAATAAATATAATACTTATGAAGATCAAATAATGAACTCATGAAAAATTATTCTAAGTTTTAATTTTAGGATTCATTTTATTTTGCTAATTTAAAAAACAATCAATTAGTTAAATGTATAATCTCTTGAAGGCTGTAAGTTTAAATTCTAAACTCCTCATATTTAAATCATAATGAAATTATAGTATAAAAAAATCACAAATGTTTCAAAAAAAACAAAAATCACATAAATATAAGTTGAAATGTACCAATAAAGTTTAGGTTAGGATATATTTCAAATCAACTTAAGGTATGGTTACGATGGTTCATATTTCTCGTCTTTAGTCTTTCATTTTCAAGAAACATTTCTAAAATTGTTTAGAAATTTTGTAAACAACATAATTAAGTTTCTTATTTTTATTTTCAAAATTTTCAACGGTATTTTATCCTTCATAACACACAAAATGCTTAATGCATTATAAATATTAAAAAATAATAATTACTCAAAAATTTTGAATATTTAACTTAGAAAGTTTTACATGTAAATCACGTTGATAGAAATATCCAAAAAAAGGGTAAAAATATAATAAATAATTACCACAAAAATTCATTTCTAAAGAAAAAAAAGGAACTTGACCCGAAGAACTCTTTAAGCTATTTTATATTTAATTATGTTAATTTTACTTTTTAATTAAAAATTTTAGAGTAAAGACATCCATGTTTTTAATTTTTTTCCATAGAAAAAAACAATAAATAATTACCAAAAAATCACGATTTCAGATCCTTTCAACCAGTTATTTATAAATGATTTCCACACAAAACAGGTAACCCATTTTTCCATACTGTGCTAAAAAATAGTTGGAAATAAATACATTCGTCATGCAACACCAAACAAACAAAATATTCCAACGATGAGCTAAAACCAAGAATATTCTTCACGATTCCAAAATTTTCACCCAAGAAAATCCCTTTTAGCAGAAACTTTAAATCAGAAGACTTTAAATCGTTTGACAATTCAAGTAAATAATCTCATCCAGTTCAAACATTCTACCTTAGAATCTAAGAGGTCTCAGACATGCCAATAATCAAAACCAGACTTTTCAAACGAGCAAAAATCGAAAACAGCCATCATTCTGTTCCTAGAGTGTATGAGAAAACAGGATAACCATCAGGTACTGCAACACGGATAACCGGGATCGTAGTATCATCAACGCAATCTCCTGGCTTCCCTCTCAGACTCTAGCAGGGTGAGGATGTCACCTTCCCTCACAGGTCCCTTCACATTCCTCATGATGTAACGGTTCTGATCGTCGAGAAACTTAACTCTCACTTGAGTCACCTGCCCTCTTGATCCAGTCCTACCCATTACTTTCACCACCACAGCGTGCTTGATCTGGGATTCCATTTCTTAGATTCTACAGAAACCTGGAATTTTATAGCCGTATTAACACGAATGCAGAGAAAAAAGTTGCTTACAGGTTATATAATGCAATATGACGAGAAATGAGCATGTATAATGAAGATTAAATTTAGATAATAACTCCCTGGAATCACATTGAGGAAAACAAAAGTGAAGGACCCAAAAGAAAACAGATAATTGAACTTTATAAAAAGATACAACTAGAGAAAAAAGATGAAGAGTAAAACTGTTCAAATATATGCTAGAAGAATGGTTTCCAACCACAGCTTAAATCATAAAATTCAAGTCAATTTCTAGACATACATTAATAGATAATTAGGAAATAAGATTGATATGCTCTCGTATTGAACTTCACTGAAAAAATGCTTGATGCCCCGACAGCATCAATTGCTAGTAGTTCCTTAATTAATCAAAGAAATTGCAGGAGGTGGCCTCCTCTCCTGCAAATCTTTATCAAACATCTCACGGCCACCCATTAAGAGTCCTTTAAACGCCATCTGGGAGGATAACAAAAGGCTAAAAGAATTCAACTTCTTCATCTGATGATGGTTTCGGAAGGTGTAGATACTCATACTACAGACAGGACAAAATAGCCCTCAATTTCCATTACCCAAGTAGGTGTATATTTTGTAAAATTGCTGGAAAAACAATTCTTGTTTTCCCAATGCCCTTAATCTTATAAGATCTAAATGTTGAGAGAAAAATCAAGTTCTTTGGTTCCAATGGTGCTTTCCTTGGCTGTTGGGTTACTAGAATAAGGGGGTTTTTCCATAGAAAAAGAAATTTGAGACTGAAAGTGGAATACGGATACGGCAATACTGTGGTACATTTAATGCGTGCTAACTGTAAAAACTATTTTGCAATTAGAATTCTTTCGTTGAAAAAAGGTCACTGAGGTTATTAGAATAAGGGTATGGGATTTTCCTCTCTTACAAACTTATCAAAATTTTGATGAAATTTATTTGGTTTTTAAGTACATCATTCAAGTTTATCATATACACAGTTTACGTTCTGAAGAGTTGGAATTACTCTTCTTCCCATAAATAATCTCACAATGTGTTAAAATCAACCAGATCCAGGCAATAAAAACCTAACCTAACAATGCTTCACTAATCTTTCCTGGGCTTCTTAAGTAACTTTTACTGTCCTTATTTTGGCTTCCTTCTTACTTTGATAACTCCACACAGATTTAGCCCAACCTCCAAATATTTAAATATGTACAATAAAACCCTAATATACTTTTGCTTAAAACCCTGTCGTTCATAACCCGCAACAACAAACAATCCGCTTCAAGTTAGTATTTTTAAGTTAAGGAACTTACTAAAGTATTTCACATAATACAATACTAAACCTTGCGAGGACGCAGAAAAATTCAAAAAAATCACAGACAAACTCCAGACGAATCAAAGTCTCCAGGTCCAATTCCAAAATCGGAAACAATGAAGAGCCATCCGAACAAAAGAAAGAACAAATCCAATAGCCAGGAAACGAAAAATCGCCAATTACTACTCAAAATAACAACACAATAAGAAATCATATATTAGATGGAGAACTAATATTGACAACGAGTCCAAAAAGGAAAAGAGAAAACATAAAACCCTAGCGATTCCTCTTCTTCTTCCTCTTCCTCTACCTTAATAGAATCGAAAAACAAACAGACTGAAACGAAAACTAGAGAGGTAATAGGAAACGAACCGGCGGCGAAGGATTTCGCAGAATCGGATTTGAAAACTCACCGGCAGAGTGTATGAGAGCGGCGGCCGAGTCTTGGCTTTGCGCCTTTATAGTGTGCCATTTGAGGTTTTCGGGAGTCGGATTTTGGCAGCTCGGCCCAAAGCTCGGCCCAACCTAAGACCAGGCTTAGGGCTTCGATTTACAATAAAAATAAGGATAAAATATTATGGATTTGTATTCTACTTTTCAAATGAATCTTTGGTCTCTAGAGTGATTATTTTAGTCTCTGTTTTTTTATTTTAACACAAATTTTAGAAACCGTTTTTAATATATATAAAGTCAAAGTTACATTTCAAGTAATATTTTAAGTAAAATGAGAATAAAAATAAAATTAAAGACTAAAAAGAACATTTTAAAAGTACAGAAACTGAAATGAACCAAAGTTGAAAATACATAGATCAGAATGAACATCTTGAAAGTACAATGACCAAAATGAATCAAAATTAAAAGTACGTGGACCAACGTAGTATTAAAAAAACAAATTTTTAAATCTTATCTTTATAATTACTATATTAAAATAAAATTTTAATGGATAACCACTCACATTGTCGTATTTGCAAATACAGCAATAGAATTATGATTTTGAAAATATGACAATTTAAAAAAAATTACACCCCTGTTTAGATATTTTTATGTAATTTCATTTTCACCCTCGTATTTCACTAATGGATTGATAAACATAAATCAATGATAGACATTTATCAAGATAGATGTGTGGGGTTGAAAAATTATGAGATTATGATTTAAAATTCAATCAATGTACATGATAACATTTTTTGAACAATTTTTTAAATTAAAATTTATCAAAATGTAAAAATTAAAAAAAATCAAATTTAAGTAACACATGGTAACAAGGTTGGAATAAAAATTCATCCGCCTAGCAAATTTGAAGGTAAAAACTGATTTTTATTTTCCAAAGTCAAACTACATGAACGTCTTATTATATTTTTCTTTCAATACCGTCTTACTATATTTACTTGTTTTCAAATTAAATTTTTGGTATAATTTTTTATTAAAAAATAATATTTCTATATTCTTCCTTGAAATATTACAAATTTCTAAATTTATATGAATAGTTATCAATGTGAGATGAAAAAAATGTAAGTTATTAACTTATTTATTGATATGGTTAAAGAAAAAATTTATGCATGCAACAATTTTTTTTATAGGTTAAAATAATATTTTAGTTTTTATTCTTTCAAACTCTTTTTCATTTTAATCATCTACTTATTAAAATGATTATTTTGATCCCTCTACTTTCAATTTTTGTCTATTTAGTCCCTATACTTTTAAAAAATTATTGTTCTGATCTTTTTTTTTTTCATTTTTTGGAATCACAATTTCAACATGACACTTGTGTCCATATATTTATTAAAATGTTGTCATAACTTGGATTTTTGTTGTGTATATAAATAATAGATATTGTGTTAAAATTTTGAGATCAAAATGGTCAGTTTCTAAAGGCAGAAAACCATAACGAACACTTTGAAAGTAGCTCGAACAAAACGAACTAAAGTTAAAAATACAAGAACGAAACTAATATTTTGACCTTTTTATAACGAGGTAGTGTAAAATAGTATTTATGAAACGCTTTTTCTTATTTTTCATCTCTAAATATTTATACGTATTTTATTTTTGTTCCTAAATTTTAAAATATTAGGACTTTTTTTTACTACCCAAGGCTTCGATACATTTCGAAATCGAGAAATTTCTACCTTAACATTTTATATCCCTATTCAACAAGAAGTTCATTTTTAATTTTTATGTTTGTAAAACTTATGCATGTTTCAACACAATTTCTTTAAAAAAATAAAAGTTTTCACTTATCAAGACACGAATTCTGAGTTAAATTACAAAAATAAATTACAAATCCTAAAACTACTTTTTTTTTTACATTTAAAAAAAATACACATCGGAGATAGTGTTTATAATAGGTGAAATATTATTTATAAACTTTAACTTTCAAAACCAAAATCGTTAGAGAACTTAAAAATTCTAATATAATCATTAAATTTTATATAAAAATCTATTTTGGTATTTATCATCAATTTTCATTAATCATTTAACTAGAAAACTAACCTACTACACGTGCCTCCAAACACTTGTCCACATAAATTTTTATTAATCAGATAAATGACAAAAAGGAAAAGTTATTTTTTATACAAAATTGAAAGTTCATGGTTTAAATGTATTAAATTTTCAAGTTACCCAATCATAATTCTTAGATCAATTTAAAATATATAATCCTTTAAACCTTTAAGATCTCAATTATTATGTCACTATAAGAATCCCAAAATAATCTAGCTTATAGACTCTACCCATGTTACATGTCCAATTGTTAACTTTGCTCTTCATTAACCAACTAAAAATAACATCGCTAAGTTTCGGTTGTGTGCTACGAACTTGTTAGAAACCCAAAAACAAAATGGCGAGTAATTCAAACTTCAAAGTTGGGAGAAATTCAATCAAAACTCAAGTGCAATCTAATCCGAATATATAATCCGAACATAGCTCAGTGAATAAGACATCTTTACTATTCCGGAATAATCTATCCAAAGTTGTCTGCAGAAAAAGATTTTGGTGTGTGGGAAACTGGCAATAAATTCAATTTTCTCAAGTATTCTACAAATGAGAACTTCTCATCTTTCTTCATCCCAACATTAATCAAGGTTGCCAAATCAATAAAAAAGAATTCAGAAGTCACAAAGGGCTGGCATAATGATTCATTCTACCATGGGATAGTTTGATGAAACAATCAAACCGGTGCACGAGTCGGAGTTCGTACCTCGTGAAGTATAAGCTGTCTTGACGGGCAAGATTTCCTGCTATTATATGCATGCTCAAGCTCTTGAAGTACCACCATGATCCCTCTCAATATGCTCCACAAGGGCTACAGGATCAATAAATCCTCTACTACACTTTGGACAAGCGTCAATTACTACCTTCTTCACCCCCGGTCGGTTGCCACCCCTTTCATGGACTTTCTCCACATGCTCTATTAACGATGAGACCGATGAAAACTTAGCACTGCATTGTGGACATTGCTCAACCTGTCCATTCCCAGTTCCGCTGCTGCTGCTGCCTCCCGATGTTTTCCAAGCTTGACTGATGTCATTTGACAACTTCGTCATGCTTGAGGCTGCATTACGAATGGTCGTAGCCCACCTAGAGGAAGATGTGGGCAATGGTTTGTTAGGCCCTTTCTCCTCTTTTCTACTACCTAAAAGACCAATGAATCGAAAACCTGCTGGTTCTGGTTTCTTGGGTCCAGGACATTTATGGTCGCGTCCAAAACGGTGCTTCAAACAATGGTCCACCAAGCAATCCCGGCACTTGATTGTGTTTGAGAACGTCAACAACTCCCTGCAGCCGGGTACGGGGCACTTTTTCTTCTTTGTGACTTTATCATAATTTGATGGGTCACATTCGGTGTTAACATGTGACTCCCAAGTAATATTTGGGTCTTGATCAGGAATGAGACGAACTCCTTTGGCACAGAGCGGGCAAATGACAACTGTGACATCTCGTTTATCAGCTTTCGGACAACTATGCGTATTATAGCTACGATGCTCCAAACAGAAGACCTGTCAAAATTTTATAGTCAACGCTAGCAACCAAACCTTGGTTACTTAAACTCAACAAAAATATCACATTCAGTTTACCCCTAAAAAGGTTCCCTTATATAATGAAATAACACAACACTATGGTATGAATTTAGGGTTCAATCCAATTCTTATCATTAAAAGTTTAAACAATCTAGTTTAACTCGAAGAAACCAGATATAAGCCTGGAAATGAACCCCTTGGAAAAAAGATTCTCACCCTAAACTCTGAACTTTAATTGTGTGTATGAACAGGTGTGTTTAAATGGTCCATAGATTAATTGTTATTGTAAAAATGGCCGAAACAAAACGATTCCTAAACATGTTTCCTTAATCTTCGAAATCCCGACCATAAGCTGATCAAACAAATACAAATTACGGTCAAATAGTAACCAGACTCTACAAGGAAACCTCCTAGCTTTTTCACATAACCCGCATCCGAATTCTGATATTTGAAGTGTAGGATCCAATTAGAACTTCAACTTACAAGAATTGACAGTTCTCCTTTCAATTTCTCCATTCATTTCATTCACAGATTCGTTTGATTGCTCATGGTAGAGTAGAACCAGAGATACTTAATGATCTATCTTGAAGTCAAACCAATATCCGTCTTGAACAATCATTCAACACTTAAAATGATTAACTCCAACTCGCATTAGATAAACAACAATACCACATTCTTCACAGCTAAAATTTTCTACATTGGAAGAACCAAAATTGAACCAATCGTTTGATGATCAACCAAGCCACTCAAACAAATTACGAAAGCAGAAACAAGATTTGAACATAAATTCATTTATCAATATTGAAAAGAAACAAAAAAGAACAGAGAGATTAGGAACCTGGTGACAGCAATCGCAAGTGAAGGGCAAGAAATCGATCTGCTTGCAATCTTCGACGTAGCAGTGCTTCCCGAGATTAGGGAATTCCGGAGTTCCCATACGCAAATTCAAAACCCAAGAATATTTTTCAAAAGGGGGGGAAGATTATGAAATTCCCGACGGAAAATCGAAATTAGAAACAGAAAAAAGGGTTAGAGATTCCGAGATTTATTGCCGAAATCCGGGAATAAAAATTGAAAATTGTCTGAAGCTTTAAGTTTCCGCGTATGTAGAGGAGACGCAAAGCTTCAGACGGAGAGTCGTCGGAAGTCTACTCGTGAATTTTGACCCTTTACGCAATTTCCGACTCGGATTTCAGGAACTGGGTCAAATAATCAGCAATGTGCGGCCCCTTCGGTTCCCCCACGGATTTTTTTTTTAATATTGTTTTTAATTAAACTTATCTTTAAAATAATACTGATTCATTGGAAAAAATGGAAAAAAAATGGGGTTTGGTCGCCTCTTTTGTCCCGATGGTCGTGGACTACCTGGACGGTTGGATGTTGATTTCTGAAAAAAAAAATTTGTTTTAATCTTGATATCACTTCAGGTTCGAATCTTGGAACACACATTTTTCCTTTTTATAACAATTAATCATCTCTTTCCTCTTTTTTACTTAATATCATCATTTACATCCCATCTTCTTCTTTTTATATATATATTATTATTTATTTAATAATAATAAAAAATTTATTATTATTACTATTCTTGTATTTTCTTGTATTTTATATATTATTGTTTATATTTTATATATTATTATTTATTTAATAATAATAATAATAATAATTTCTATCATTGTATTTTCTTTTATTTTATATATTATTATTTATTTTTCTCTTTTTTACTTAATATTATCATTTTCATCCCAACTTTATATATATATATATATATATATTATTTCTATTTCATATATTAAAGAGAAAATAGATGATTAATTGTTATAAAAAGGAAAAATGCATGTCCAAAGATTCAAACCTGAGATGAGAGAAGTACACTCACTGCACCACTTAGAGGTTTTTTATATTAAAATTATTGAATAATATATAATATAAAATTTTTTTTTTTTCCAGAAATCAACAGCAGACCGTCTAGGTAGTCATTCTCTTGAAGAGACGACCACACTTCTGCTTTAAAACAAAAATTGACGTGGTGCGTCATCTCTTTAAGAGACTACCAAACCCCCATTTTTCTAAAGCAGCAATATTTTTGGAATGAGTTTCCAAAGTTGCATTTTTTTTCATTTTTTCTAATAAATCAGCATTATTTTAAAAATAAGTTTAATTAAAAACAATATTAAAAAAAATCTGTTCCCCCACGATGTCGGGAGGCAAAATTAAAATTTAAAAATTCTCGTCTTTTTTTTTTCACTCGAACAAGATTTGGTGCACAAATAAAAATAAAAATTAATTCTTAAGGTGAGTGACCATGATAAAGTTTAAACTCATTTTCTTTCAATGTATCGTAAGTCATTTAGACAAATGAACCACTTATGATAGTCTCGTTGTTTGATTAGTTATTATTATTATTATTATTATTTAGACTAACGGCCCATAAATTATTAAGATGAACCAGTATAAATATTCTGTGTCGTTTATAATCCGCTCAAATACAAGCTTCACTAAAATTAGATTGGATACAAGCACTCTCAAATATATCTCCCCATAGATATTCGCTCTTGAGAGATCCCAACAAAAGTCCTCTAATTTCTAAGTATTATAACCTCAATACTTAGGTACCCTATATTTCTCTTTGTGTTGTGTGATTGGCTTAGATAACTAAAGATTATTGTGGAAGGGGAAATTGTTTTGGAGAATCTAATTTCCCAACAAGTTGTATAAATTCCTAATCACTTAGCCATGTTCAAGTCAGTGAGATTTGAACGATGGAAAGCTTACGTCCAATTATTTTACATTTGAAAAACACCCATATATGTATGATATATAAGGGTGGTTAGTTGAGTCAAGTTTGGTCAAAAATGCAATTTTAGATTGAGTATTAAGTTATAAATTTGTCTAACTCATTTTTCAGTCAGGTGATCCGACGTAATACATGAGTTATAGGCTTTTCGTATCATTTAGACTAAATATACGTTTTGATCCGAAATATTAAGGTGTTTTTTCAATTTGGTCTTAAATCTTTTAAAAGTTTCAATCTCATTTTAATGTATTGAATTTTTATTTGATTAATTCCTTATAATCACTAAACATTAAAATTAATGTACAAATAATCATGCAATTTCAAAATACGTTTGTTAATTGACTTTAAAAGTATTATATATTTTAATTTGACGAATAGACATAGTACTAACTCTTATATTGACAATGTACTCTCCTATATGATTTAGTATGGAGTAGTTTATTTGACCAAAAATTAGAAAATTGACCCATTAAAATGTTGGTATATTAGTGAGGGTCAAACTCATAAAAATTATTATTTTCTAATACATATGTCATCGTTGTTTTAGTTTTCGTAAGAACTTCATTTTTAAAAAATCCAATACATAAGAGATGAAATTGAAACTTTTAAAAGATTAGAGACCAACCTAAAAAAAATACTAGGAACTAACATATTTAGTTTATCCTTAACTTAAAAACTATATAAAGTGGTTGAATTTTGATCGAGAATATGTGTATTAATTAATTGAGCTATGCTTAAATTGACATTAATTTAAATTATTTGTCATCTCATTTAAGTTTTACTCTATATTAGGAGTAGGAAAAAGTAATTATATTTTATATATCCTTTTAACTTATGAAGGAAAAAATTTATTGAGATTGTGAAATAGGATAGATTTATAATTTCACTAGTCTTGTATTTGCGTGCAAGTATTAGGACTAAGAGGCTCTTTGCAGAGAGAGAGAGACATAATGGAGGATTTTATTTATTTTTTATTTACTGGTAGCCTTACAACTTACCTCAAATCTCTACCCTCTGTCTTAATCGATTAAACTATATTCAAAAGAATCTCATATCCCGAGGTTGAGTATATGACCTGGCCACCCCGAAAATTAACTCAACCCGTGAATACCCCCTATTTCTTATTTGGATAAAACTATTTATCATCGTATTGAAATTAATTAGAAATTAAATGAAATAATTTGTTTGTATTTTGTTTAGGGATGGGTAGGAAGCACATTTATGGTGAACAAATGGCCCATTAAAATTCTCAAATTGTTTCTAACCAAACGAGCAAACTCAGTTTGTGAATTGTACTGGGTTTAAATTAAAATAACAAATTCAACATTTTCTGGAGCAATATTCAATAACACATTCATTATCAACATCGTTTAAAACTTCAGCCAACTTCAAATTTACTAAGAAACAATCGGCTTAAAAAAACCTAGGTTAAATAACATTATGATATCAATACTTTAAATGAAATAAAAATTTTATTTCATCCTTAAACTTTAATCTTTGTACTTCCAATGATAGTTTAGTCCTTATCGCACACTCAAAAGAAAAACCTAATCAATGACAAAATGTGTTTAATAATAAATTATCATACAAAAATATTCAATACTTAATTTTGATAAGATTGCATTAAATTGTCAGAATTTTTAAACAATTACTAAATTTTAACTAAATTGTTACCATTAAAGTTCAAAGTCTAATTCTAAAGAAAAAAAATAATTACTTCGATGAAGTGCCAAGGACAAAACGTACTTTCTAACACAAATATATACAAGTGTAAAATTAATTAATAGAAATATATGATTCATTTTAAATAATAATAATAATAATAAATACAAATACTCAAAACACGTCCTGCAAAGTGCAAACTAACTCTATCATTGAGATAAACATATGAAACTTGAAAAATTTCAGCAGAAACCACTGATATGATGTTAAAGCCTCTTGTAAAATTCTTTTTAGAGCTATGCTTTGTGGATTCAAATCTGAAGAATGTAACATCCAACTTAATATTGGTGCATCTTTCTTATAATAAGAAACATTAGTGCATTCAAAATCAAGCTTTATGGCATTGGATTCAGAAACAAAAACAGAGTCAAGTACCAATAGGAAATAGATAACACACTATCCTTGAAAGTAAATGAATTCAACTGAAAGCATATACTATGGAGTTCCTAACAAAAACATTCCTCTTTTTGAAATCATACCAAATCTATGTGGCTTAAGCAGCAACCCTCTCAGCATCATCCAACAACAATGCCTTCACAGTCGGTTTGGCCAACAGATCAGTGTGCTCTTGGAATGGAGACTTGGTGAAGCGAGTCTCTCTCCAGAATTCGGGTGTGAGGAAACCGTAGGTTTTCAATAGACAATCAAAGGTTGCCTGAAAATAATGGAAATGTTCACACTTAAATAAGAAATCAAATCAGAACATAAAAAAAAAAAAACAGATTGCGGACACTAGTTCAAGTTCAGGATATGAATAATCTGTTTGAGTGATATCTCTAGCATGCAATTTCGAAAAGAAACTTTGCATCCATGTGCACCATATGCAAACAACAACTTCAAGAGCAATTGATTCCATGCCATTCAATCACAAGAATTATTTCAAGTACTATAATTTGAAACATCAATAAAAAAATTTGAAAAGTTACACATGATGCATTCCCACACCAAATCACCATAAAACTCCTACAAAACCTATAAACTAATTTCATATTTTCTCTTCTTGATACCAAAAAAACATATTCACCAAAAAATCAACCTCAAATAGACTATGATTCATAAAAGAATAGTCTTCCCAAAAGCGTATTCACTAATTTGTGAAAACCCACATGATTTATTTTACTCATCACTATTCTGGGCTAAACTACCTAGCAATTAAAACAATCATACAGTAGGTTAGAAAACCCATGTCCTTTATACAAGACACTCTTCCACAATCTCAAAGCAAAATAACATAAAAGATACCAAACAAAAAGATTTTAACTCTATTTTCATAATAGGAAATCAAACAACGAGAAGAAATTAAAACACAAACAGCCCACAATCACAAACATATCCATAAATAACTTTAAAACAGACCATGATTCAAAATCTAAACAAGGGTGAGGTATAAATGCCACTCTTAATACTGAATGCCGCAACAAAAAACTCAATTCATAAATAACATACCTTCACAAAGTTACCAAGAGTCTTAGTCGAACCCCTCGAAGAGGTAAAAACATCCTCAATACCAGCGAATTGCAGCACCTTCTTGGGAACCCTAGCGGCGACAATCCCAGCTCCACGAGGAGCAGGGACCATACGGACGGTGACAGAGCCACACTTTCCGGTGACCTTGCACGGTACAGTATGAGGCTTTCCGATCTTGTTCCCCCAGTAACCCCTCCTCACAGGGAT